ATGTCGTTTTGGCTATTTTGTTCATATTTTTGTACTTTTAATCCTTCATCTAATACACTACACCGTTTCCCATAACATCCATTAAATAGGTTTAATATTGACAAGAAAAAAATTCTTAATTAACGTGTTGCTTCTGAAAACGATAAATAATAAAAATATGAGGTTGTATCTAGTATTTTTATGGGCACTCGAGGCCTAGTTATTTTTGGATTGAAAGTAAATTATAAATCATCCATGCCAAATGAAAAAACATGAAAATTTGCCATATATGATAAAAAATATATGCCACTCATGCTTAGCACATTCGAAAATTATATATAACAGGGATTGTTGCTTCTTCTTTGTTTTTCAGTATGTCTCAAATTCAACCTTTTGATAATACATCAACACAACCATTTAACAATTACTTATATTTCTTTCCATGTACTTGTGAGTGTTTTTTTCGTAAAAAACATAATAAATTTCAACATTATCGTTTAGTAGAAAATTTCTTATGATCAATTGACGATAATCAATGAAACAATAAATTAAGTAAAGTAAATATATTTTAAAAGTAATATGCAAATTGGTAACAAATATTATAAAACATGACATTGGTGGAGTGTTTTTATTTTATTTTATTTTATTTTACTTATATATTAATGTTTTTATATAAAAAAAATTATATAACTTATTATAAATATTAGACAAAACGTTTAAAAAAACTCCATACTTGACTTTCCAAAAATAGAAATTTCATGCTTGATTTAATAATTTTATAAGAGATGTCAAATTAATAATAGAAAACCCAAATGTTCAGGAAAATTATTAGCTCTCCCCAAATTTCTCTCCTCTAAACCCTAACCGCCGCAGCTCTCGATTTTGGTACATCGCGCGCCTTCTCCGGCGAATAGCCGGGCCTATCGCCGGCGGATGACCTTTAGCTTCATCATCTCTCCTCAATTTCTCCATCGCTAGCTCTTCTGCGCCGATGGCGTTTCCCAAGCTATCGGCAGTTCTCGCCACTCTCTTCCCGCTAGTCGTGGTTCCGAGTTCGGTTTCTTGGTGTAGTGGCTATGGTGGCTGGCCGTCGGTTGGCGTCCTCACTGCCCGGTCCCCGCTGGGAGCTCGTCTGTTGCGCTGCAGGTTAGTGGTGGGTGGCTTCAAGGAGGTGAGTGGTTGCGATTGGGGTTGGGTGCGGTCCTGGTGGCTCGGCTCTTTTGAGTCGAATCGGCTGGGGTTAGGTTGGTTTGGTTCTTGCCTCTGTGTCCTCTTTGCTGGTTCGGTGGAGTTGGATACCTGACATGTTTGGATTCTGGCCATCGGTTTTTGGTCGGGTCGTGGGAAGCGGGCCTGTGTGGTGGGGCGGATCGATCCTTGTTGGGCTGTAGGTCGACCTCATCTGTGGTGTGGTTCGAGGATTGGACTCTTCCTTGCTAGGCTTTAGGCAGTGGTGGGAGGGGTTTCCGGCTTTCGTGTTATGCTATCGGGTGTTTGGTCTGGATTTCGCTGGTGCCTCGTGCTAGGCTCGGTTTTTTTCGCAGGGGAAGGGCTTTGTTTGTTTAGGTTTTATTTTCGGTTGTTTTCTTGTTATCGTGTCTTGTGTTTAGGTCTGTGTTTTTAGTTTGGGCCGTTGGCCTCTGTGTGTCTGAGTGTCAAATTTATTATCCTGGTGGGATCCGACACTCGGGTATTACTCCGTTTGAGTCTTTTAGTTGTTGTTAGTTGTTTTAGTTGGTTAGTTTTAGTTGCGAGTTTTTCTAGCGTTGCTAGCCGGGACTCTAGGCGGTCTTCTGACCTGTCCTCCCACTTTTTCAGTTGTTGACTGCGGTTTATTCAGTCGTTGGCTGCTGTGTATTCGCACATTTGTGCATTTTGATTTATAATATAATCTATCGTTTCGGGAAAAAAAAAAAAATAGAAAACCCATATAATATTTGTATTTGATAATAGTCGTTAAATTAAAAAGTTCTTAAATTAATTAGAAAATTAATAAGACTATTTAATATTAAAACAAATTTAGCTATCAAATCTATTATATAATATGAACTAATAAATTGTTATAGTATAAAATTGTAAGTCGTAACAAGTATCATTTTACATATAAATAATAATATTTTTTCAGTTTACGTAAAATTTAAAATAAAATATCATCTTGTAAAAAAATATATATAATTTCTTTTTTAGCACCTTTGTAATATACATATGTTACACTCTACTAGTGAAATTTATTCTTACAATAATACCATAGAAATATTAACGACCGACCTTGGGTTAGGGTATGGAGATTATTATTTATTTATTTTTTTTAATGAGAGAGATTTCAAATTATATTCAGAGGTTAATTAATTTTTTTTAAACGGAACGATAGAGGGTATTATATAATCAAAACAAACAAATGTGCAAAGATATAACCCGAAGTTGAATAAGACAACCCAAAGCTGAGTAAAATGGGAGGACAGGTCTGACGACCGCCTAGAATCCCGACCCTAGCAACACTAGGAACTGAAAAAAGACTCGCAGAACAACAACACAACAAAAAGCTCTCCACAGGAGAATAGATTTCTCGACCAGACCCGCCCCTTTGCCTTCTTCCGAGGGCCCATAAATACGAAATCCTACTCGACATTCTCTAAACTGACTTTAGAGCCCGATGCTGAACAGAAAGCCGACAGGAGCAGATCCTCACAGGATAATAAGTTGCTCCCGCTCGAACTGAGGCCAACGGCCCAAACCAAAAAAACATAACATAAACACCCAGGCAAAGAGCCCAAACCAAAACACGATCCTACCACACAAAACAACAAAAAACAACTAAAACACACACAATCACAAGCCCGACTAGCAGCCACCAAATCAACCCAGGGGAAACCCACCGCTTGAGATAAACAACCCCTCCACTGTAATGAAGCCTAGCTGAATCGCAACTCAAACCACGAGTCCCACCTAAAGCCAATTCTCCCCCACACCAGAAATACCAAGAAACTCCCAACACAACCCACCAAGCCTCCTAACACCACTAGAGGGCTCAGAAGAATCGAGAACCCCGAATCCCAAACACAGGGAACCCGAGGAAAGGAGTTGTCTCAATACCACAGCCTCAGTCCTACCATCTCGAAAGCCAAAAGAACCTGAGCCACTCAAGAGCCCAACCCTCGAACCACAAAACACCGCCAGACGCAGACAAAAGAAAACCGAGACATGAGCAGCTAGAAGGAAACTTACCCTCAATCGAGAACGGCAACCGGAGAGGCCGAAAGCCGGGAGAGAGGCGTCGATTTAAGAGAATAGCGAGGGGGAGAATAGGGTTATTTTGGGGGCACAGGTTAATTAATATAATGAAAAATAATACTTTTTCTTTTATATATAAAAGACAGATTTTTTGAAGGGAGCAATGATGATACGAATGAGCAATGATGATACGAAGCCGTGTAGATATTCCAAAATTCCGACCACCATAATTATATTTCATCCAAAGTCTAATCCAAATTCAAAAAGGTTGATGCTAAACGGATTTGATCAATTAGATATATTTTCTATCAAATCTATAGATATATTTAGGACGTGCTTGGATACATACTTAATCAGAGTTAATTTTAAAAAAAATGTGTAACAATAAATTTTGTGAAAAACATAAAACTTTTGTACAATTTGATTTTATTTTGATTAAAATATATTGCGGGTACAATCTCTATATATCCTCTCTGATTCTTCTCTTCGTGGACTTGGACTTGGATTTGGGCTTGAATGCCGTTGATATTCTTGGATTGATGAAAGGAGTGGAAGTCGTCTCTTTACTTCTTGGAGAAGAGTCGCTGCCTCTTTTTCTTCTTCTTGGCCTTCTTCTTCATTGAATGTACTTGGTTGCGGGTTGAACGCCGATCTTCAACTTGAATGACCTTGGATCTTCAAGAAAATTATTGAGAGCTCTTGAACTTGAGATTTTGATGTATGAGGTGTGTTAGGTGTGATTTGTGATTCTGAGGAGAGCCCTATTTATAGGTGTAGGAGAGAGAGTCTTGGAGAAAAAGACATCAATTTGATTGGTCCTTCTTGATTTGATATAATCTATTTCCTTATCCTGTGATTTGATATAATCTCTTTTCTAATCTTAAGATTTAACTTGGTGAACAAGAAATAATAACATTATTAATTATATATCTTATTTATCATGGATTTATGCTCAAAAAATAAATAAAGACATAAATTAATAAAATATTAAAATTTCGATGTCTACAAAATGATATAGTTAATTGTTAGTAATCATGATATTTTAAATTTATATTACAATAATATTTAAAATAAGTTGATTTGATATAAAAATGTATGAGCGAGAGGACGTGGAATGATTATTAGTTAAAATTATGTGAGTTGATGAATAGTGAATTAAAGTTGATGTGATGTGTAAGAATGATTGATTGATATTATTTAATTATATTGATAATATTGATAATAGTTAGTTTAAATTAAAATTAAGTTTAATTTTAAATATGAATTGAAATTATTTATAAACAAACACACCGCCCTTGTCTGTATATGTAATTCTTTGTCGATAGCTAATTAATTAAGCCGATCTTAAGTTTATTTTTTTCTGAAAATTTGTATCCAGATTGCATTTGTCATGCTTCTACTCAGTATTTCAAGCCTGATTATATTTTTATTCACTAAAGTCAATCTAAAAGTTTATTTATCTTTTCTGAAAATTTGCTCATCGTATCCATCATTGCATTTGGCATGCTTGTACTCAGAGTTCCGATCCCCATTTTATTTTAATTCACTAAAGTCAATCTAACTTATTTGTCTTTAGAATTAGAGAGACCAATGTTCAAATATCCATATGATTAGTCAAGCTCGACTTGTGATAGGCATGGTTAAGTTATATTATATCTATATATATCATTGTAGGCAATGAATTTAATAAATTTATATTCAAAGATAAATTAAGCCGTTGTGAAAAAGCGTGTTGAAAATTAGAGTTTACCTATAAAGGGAAGAAGGAGATCGAGTTTGTCTTT